TTTCCTTAGATAGAAAACTTTGAATCAATCTGACTGGATGATCTGGTTGAATCGTCTCTATAAAGTGACCTCAGATGACATGATGTGAATAGAAGCTATAGAAATAAACTGAATAGAATTGAAAGTGGAATTTTCTTATGTCATTAAGGAAACATCAGATGATCAGATTACGTACCATACTCCGGTTGGGCTCCTAGCTTTTGAACAGTGGCCATATTGCAGATGCTGATGCCCCGAGGATAGTCGGGCCATGTGGTCGGTGTGTTGTCCACCACGATGATATTCTGCAATCTTGGAACCTCAGGCAAGATAGCCTGTTATGCATAAATAAAGAAATAACATTTAAATGTAAATGGAACAACAAAACTTTCATGACTTAAAAGGAGCAACTTGTGTATAAGGCTGTAAACATTTAGACAGAGAAAAAATGAACTAGGTTTATTTATGTATTTAATATTCTCACTCTTTACTGTTTTTATAAGCATCTAAAAGTTGAAAATTTAAAAGGCCAAACCTGATTACTGTCTTAAAAAGTTCTGCAAATACAAATAGACATAACATGCAATAGTCTTGCCTAACCACTAGGTGTCATTACTCCTCTAAATCCGCCATCATGTCAAAGTCCTCCTTTATTCAGACGACGTCATCACCTTCAGTCTGTTCTCCAGGAGTTCTTTGCTGGTGATAATATGGGTGACCTGAGCCTCATTCAGTCCATGAGCAATGGCTGGACCCCCCAGGGTGGAGTACAGGGTCACCACTGAAACAGAAATTACTTTAACTAGACCAACAGCAAGCAGGCCTAAATCACTTTAACATCAAAATGTATCTGCACACATAACAAATCTCAGCAACATGTGCTGTCTGTTTGTCTAAACTTTTTGCAAATATAGTTTAAATTTAATTCTGTTATTAACTGAAAAAAACTATTAACTGAAAAACCACTAAAAAAAAGTGCAAATATGTCAAATCTTCTTTAAAGTCGACAATGTAGCCTTGTTCTCCGGTTAGAGTTCATCCTTTCATTGTAAAAGGTTTCCTGGTGTTTTAGAAAATGTCTTGAAATTTTTCTGACTCTGAGTAAAAATTAATCCTCCCAAACTCCAGCTTTTAAATTCCACGTCTTAAACTCGCTTTAACACACATTTCTACTCCTTGGTTTTTAGCACATGTTGAGACTTTGCTCTTCTTCTCATGTTTTTTGTACTGTTATAATTTTTTCTTCCATGTTTGAAAGGATGATTTATTTTGGTCTGTACATCATTGATGTTTTTTGAAGTGTTTTTTTTTTATTTCATAGTAGTAGAAGTAAAAGGTAGGAAGATGTAGGATTATGCTGACATAAAGAAAGAACAGGGAGAAACGTGAAAGAGAAGAAAGGAACAGAAGAGGTTCCTGCTCGAACACAGGCAGCAGTTTGGGGGACATGACTTCACATTCTAGCTTCCAGTGCTCTAACTAGGCCTGTGTCTGCGTCTATGTTTGCATGTGTGTCTGAGCAAAGGCCGTAACACCTCACGCCCTGAGAGTTTAACAGTCAGATGGGCCTCAGATGAACACGGATGCTAACAACCAGAGAACACTCGAGAAAAATCGTCTTAATTAAAGAGAAATCAGAGAAAGCTGCTCTGGACTTCACTCCATAAGGTAACTGCATGCAGGGTTCCTCTGTTCCAGATGGACTTAACCCTAACTATTACAGGCTCATTCCTCACCCCAACCCAAACTAACCTAACACCTAACCATAAAACAGCAATCTCCCCTAAAGGGACCTGACCGAGGTCCCCACAATGTAGTAGAAAGAAGGCCACACACATTTAGGGGTTAAGAGGGACATTCAGAAATAGTAAGCTTCTATGAGAACAGCAACTTCTAAACAGAGCATGCGGGAGGTAAAGGGTACAGGGTTGTGCATGTGCATTCTGTTTAAGTGGAGAGGGCGGGTCTTAAAAAAATTAATAAATTAAATACCTTTAAAAAATAAATCAGGGCGGGCTTCCACCAGGGGAAAGCAGCTAAAAAGCATTTTATTTTAGAAATTATTGGGATCTGGAGGCTTGTCTACCTTTCTCCACCAGAGGGCGCCTGAGATCTTCCTCCTGAGAGCATGAGCTGACTTCTGCACACCTGTTTCCCATCTGCTCATCAGGAGGCCTACTTAAGGAGGAGGAGGCTGACACTTCCCTGCCAGAGTGTTTGCCAGTAATGGTACCAGCAAACCTGAGCCAGCTAACTCTGATCTGTTTCTCTGAATTTTTTGAAAACCTGTCTGACCCTGTGTTCTTCTGCCTCTCAGGTCCTGACTATCTGGTTAAAAGTGAAATCCTGGAGAGAACTATAGCTGCCTGGAACCTGCCTGTCTGCCCTCCGCCTTAGCCTCCGTCTCTGCCTCTGCCCTCAGCCTGCCAATCAGCCTCTGGACCCTCAAGGTTCCCCCCCTGCTGGTCAGAATACCCTCTGAGCAGGTATTAACTCAAACCGCCGTTCAAACTGCAAGTTTCCTGGATCCACTCTAACTGACCTGTCCTCCTCTAGTTGCTTCCTTCCCGTGACCAGCCTGATGAGCCAAGACCCCGTTCACATTTCACTGTAAACTTTGTCAATAAATCTTTTAACTTTTTCCCTGTCTCCTGAGAGTGTTTCTGCATGTGGGTTAGGAGATTAGACCCCAACATGACAGAAATGGTGTAACCTCACATTACCTGACATAACAAACCAGCTCACATAACAACAAAAAATTAAGTGTGACATTTTTATTTTTCTATTTACAGCTTATTTTAGATGTACACCAACAGACCACTGCAGGCATGCTTAGTGTCAGGGATTGCTGAAAAGTCAATGAGTCGATGCAGTCAGCTGGTTTTCGTTACTACTCTGAACCAATCTGACAGGATGATCTGGTTGATCTTGATCTATAAAGTGACTAGAGATGACATGATGTGAATTGGAGCTATAGAAATAAACTGAATAGAATTGATGCATGGCTGTAAAGTAATGTATGCTGTTGTATCTATTTAATCCTCTGTGGACTTTAAGGCAATTAAATTGATGATGGCACTGCAGAGTTGTGGGTGTGCCTGGGACTGTTTTACAGACCTTCCAAGGGCAGGCTGTCAGCTGTTTTACAGACCTTCCGAGGGCAGGCTGTCAGCTGTTTTACAGACCTGCCGAGGGCAGTCTGCCAGCTGTTTTAAAGATCTGCCAAGGGCAGGCTGTCAGCTGTTTTACAGACCTGCAGAGGGCAGCCTGTCAGCTGTTTTACAGACCTGCCGAGGGCAGTCTGCCAGCTGTTTTAAAGATCTGCCAAGGGCAGGCTGTCAGCTGTTTTAAAGACCTGCCGAGGGCAGCCTATCAGCTGTTTTACAGACCTGCCGAGGGCAGGCTGTCAGCTGTCTTACAGACCTGCCGATGGCAGCCTATCAGCTGTTTTAAAGACCTGCCGAGGGGAGGCTGTCCTGCAACCACTGCGACACATACAACACAGTGTGACACAGTGCGAGGGAGCAAATGGCGAGACTGCAAGGGGGAGCAAAGGAAGTGACTTTTTTTTCTGTGGATTCTGGTGCCGTAATTTCCGCCTTTTACTGGTCTTTTAATGTGGAATTAAGGACACAATTATCCTGGACCCAAAGCATCTCTGTCCCTGGCTCAGTTTCACTGAGCTTTTATTTTTTTAAAGAAAACATTTTTTTTTTTAAAGAAATTATCTAAGGAAAATAAAAACTCTGCATTGAAACCTGATCTGTTCTATGTTCGCTGGGTTCTTACTCACTAGCTCCCTCTAATTGTTAAAGGACCTATTGCAGCACTAAGGAACCAACACGGCGCTTGCATGTACATGAAATAAAACTAGGTTTGTGCTAAGAAGGTTACAGAACGCAGAACAGATCAGATAACAATGTTCTTCAAAAGCACTAATGAGACTCCCCATGTTTGAAAATTTATTTTGAAGAAGTGCTATATGGAAGAAAAATAGCAACCAAGGAAAATTTAATTCAATTCAGTTTATTTATATATCGCCAATTCACACACCACAAGTAATATCAAGGCACTTTACAGTTCAACCCGATCATACAGTCAAGAAAAATGGGATATTCTTTTCTGTCTCTCTCTGTTTCTGTCTCAGGCCACATATAAGTGCTGCACTGGAACAAACTATCCCTAAAGCTGAGAAATAAAATGGTTTTACTGAGACTCTCCAGCTTTAGAGGACATTCACTTACATGGGAAGTTATATGCAAAGCAGGCCTGAGCAGCGATCAACCACTCTGCTCGGGTCTCACAGAAGATGGCGATGTTGGTTTTTGGCTGTTGACCCAAAGATGCCAAACCTCTACCCAGCTGAATGGCTGCTGTCAGGGCCTCCTTATAGGACAGCCAGTGGTACTTTCCAAGGACAACCTGCAGATGGAGATGAGGAACAAAGAATTTAATTCTTTAGCAAATATATGAAATGCTGCTTTTACATGCAGGAGAAATTTCCAGGGCTTCTGTCAGCTTTGCTTGCTTTTATAACCTGACTTCAGAATTTTGCTAAATTTATGGCGAGTTGTCAACCAGGCAGCTGATTCCAAACTAACCTTCAAACATGAAAACATATCAGAGGTAAAAAAAAAGAGAGAAGTATTAAACCCCTCTAAGAGGGTCTGAGGAAATTAAGAAATGTTTTAACATTGAATTTAAAAGCACCAGGATAATATTAAGTATTGTGTAAATTCTTAGTCTTCTGGATCCTATCAACCACAAAACAGGCTTATGTCAGAAGAAACCAGAACTGCGCAGCAGGTTTAATAGTATGAAACTATTTAATAGGTTTAATAGGTGCTGAAACATGCTGAGCACCCAGGAAGCTGGCTGCCCGGCATCATTTCACTATTTTCCATTCAGATCCCAACCTGAATGACTAGCCATGGAGAAATACACTAACGGCTCCCTGTAGGCTGGTATAGTTTGATCTACTACATCCCCTATTGGTGCAGGTTTCTTTTTCGTGCAAAAGAAGGACAAGACGGTTTGTCCCTGCATTGATTATCGGGAACTCAACCAGCTCATGGTGAAAAATAAATACTTCTGCCTCTCATTTCTTCAGCCTTGGAGTCTGTATGTAAACCCACTGTTTTCACTAAATTGGACCTTTGATTCGCTTACCATTTGGTTAGAATCTGAGAGGAAAACAGCCTTTAAAACTCACATTGGACACTTCGAATACCTGTTCATGCCTTTCGGCCTCTCTAATGCGCCTGCAGTTTTCCAGGCACTCATTAATGATGTCCTGAGGGACTTTTTTTTAACATTTTTGTTTTTGTTTATATTGATGACATTCTGGTCTTATCCAAGGACAAGGAGGAACACAAGACACATGTAAGATGGACCCTGCTAAGATCAAAACAATGTTTAGAGTGGGATTGGCCCACTCCAGACTCCAGAAAACAGCTCCAGAGGTTCCTAGGCTTTTCAGATTTCAACAGGATGTTCATTCGCATCTTCAGTATCACTGCCCTCACTTCAAGTAAGAGGCCCTTTCTCTGGACCCCTAAAGCCCAGAAGGCCTTTACAGAACTTAAGGCCCAGTTCTCACAAACCTGAATTCTGATTCATCCTGACCCTTCTTCCCAGTTTATCCTCAAGGTTGATGCTTCAGACATATGGGTAGGAGCCATTCTCTCTGAAGGGTCGTAATTAGACAATAAACTCCATCCTTGTGCTTTCTTTTCAAAAAGATTCTCTCCTTCTGGAAGAAATTACGATATAGGAGATAGAGAACTCTTAGCCATCAAACTAGCCCTAGAAGAATGGAGGAATTGGCTCGAGGGTACAGAACTTCCAGTTGTTGTTTGGACTGGCCACAAGAACCTTTCCTATCTCCAAACTACCAAGACATTAAACTCTCGCCAAGCCCGCTAGACTCTGTTCTTTTCAAGGTTCAACTTAAACATTACTTACTGTCAGTTTACATAATGTCAAGCCAGATGCCCCCTCTAGGAAATTCATTCACGACGACCTCCCCAAATCCCCAGAGCCCGTCCTTCCTCCCTCCTGTGTCGTTGCAGCACTCACCTGGGATTTGGAGAGGGCCATTCAAAGAGGCCTGACGAAGGCCCCAGATCCCAGAGGGGGTTCCCCTAACCGCCTTTACGTTCCAGCCTCTGTTTGCTCCCAAGCCAGTTAGTGTAAGAGTCTCAAACAGGAGGTTGAGAATGCACTCTTCTGCATCGTGGTAACTTACCCGCTAGCCCCCCAACCTGAAATTTCATTGTCATTTTGTATAGAGTATGTGTATACAAAATGACAATAATGTTTGTCTAAGTCTAAATCAAACCATAGTAAAAAGCCTTCAGCTGATCCAAAATGCTGCAGCCAGAGTTCTGATGAAAATGAAAAAGAGAGATCACATCTCTCCTATCCTGGCTTCTCTTCATTGGCTTCCTGTTAAATCCAGAATAGAATTTACAATCCTCCTTCTCACATATAAAGCCTTAAATGGCCAAGCTCCATCTGATATCAGAGATCTGATAGAGATATTGAAGAGATTCAGTGTCATTATAGAAGACTTCATCAAGTTAACTTGGAAAAAGTAATTCCTTAATTACAAAACCTTTAGATTCTTCACCATTTATAACACAACTCAATATACACTGGAGCATATTTTTCATCTGAATACTTAACATTTAAACACCCACACTGTGCTTCTAACACAGACCAGAGCTTCCAACTCTTGCATTAATGAGGTTATACAGACTCCTATTGGTTGAAAAATGCACCTGCAGACAGAATGTTTCCTCATTAGAAAGGCTTTACGCTTGTGTCATTCATGCAATGTCTGCAAAACAAATGGCCAAGGAATTCAGTCTTGCATCAATAAGCATTTGTACGAGGAGTATTTAATGGATTTAAACCATAAGGCTGCAGGGATTAGTGTTGGCATTCAGGGATTAATTACTGAGTTTCATAGTTTGCATTTTCTAATCTGTGCTCCCTCCACTGCACACAAAAACATTGAAGGTGTCATCCCTATTTTGTATTAAAATTGGATTTTCAGTTTAAGTAACAATGAGAACCAAACGTCATATAACAGTTGCAAAGACTGTAAGCATTTAAATAGATCTGGGAAACAAATGCATGAGAGATTTTTTAGGTTAAGGGAGTATTAGCCTTTTAGCTCACTATGTAATCAAGTCTTTAGAGTCCCAAAATGCAGCGGGGGCTCCTTAAACACAAATTGTAAACTTAAGTGTGATTAAAAAGTGTGATTGTTAAAGTAAAATACAGCGTCCAATTTTAGTTTTTGATTGATATGAAATTAGGTCATTTTAATATTTAACATTTTTCCATATACGAACATTTTAAACTTGTAATATAGATATTTTTTTTTAACTTAATTACTGCCCTAAGTAGTTTATTCTTCCAGGAAAAGGAACCTTATGGAGCATATAGCGTTAGCCTCACTGCATGCTGTTAGCCTAACCTTCTTGCTAAACTAGGTCCTGGAAAAGGACCAAGTTTCCCTCTGTCTGCAGACTGCTGATTAATATTGATGTCCAGCTTATCAGGGCCAAGAGCCTTCCCCTCCTGCTTCTCTTGGTAAGTTCTCTGCTCAAAACATGTTGCTTTATGGGACTGAATTTTTTCTTGTGCCATTTCTCTCTCTCCTCACTCCAATGAGTCTCCAACTCCCGTCAGGTTGCTGCTAAGCTGCGCTCTGGGCCATCCTATTTGTATTTTCCAGAAGAGCTACTGCGCATGTACAACTTTTAGGAGAGTCAATGGTTAAACATTCTTGCCCCCTAGGGTGGAAATAGGTCAGCAATCCGATGAAAGTTAAGTGGAGCTTTATTTGTCATATACAATTAAATATTTATCTTTCACATTTAGAAAATATATATCAATTTTTTTTGTCTTTATCAGGGTCATTGGGTGGGTGGGGCAGCACCCTAGTGCCCTCTATTGGCCAGCCGCCACTGATTGTGTATACCCACTTCTAAATCAACCTTGATCCACGTTATTAAGCAGAATCTCCGAGCCAAATTTTCAATTTGTTCCTAGGATTTTAAAGCCATCACCTGCGCTACTCTGCTTCTAATTGGTTAACTATAGGCATGATGACCAGTGAGCCAATCGGAGGCCAAGAGGGGCGGTTCATGCTGAGGTTAAAGGAAAAGTCCAGTCAGCAAGGAATAACCAATTGGTAGTTATTTATACCTAAAACTAATAGGTTCACGGTTATTTAATGAATTTGGTGTTAACCAGTGAAAAAAAAAAAGCAATATTTTTTGTTCGGAAATGGCCCAAATATAGTAAGCCCTCCCTCCTGCCATCTTCCAGCAGTGACGTCACGGTGCGGTAAGCCTAGCGCCATTCTCCCCGCTTTCCAAGCTAAATCAATGGGAACTACTAGACACATCTGCAATCAACAACAATTATTGAAGATTTCCAGAGGACTTCACCATTGAAATTCACCAGAGCTATAGTGAAACTGACAATGCCCACGTGCATGGCAGCTGGATGCTGGAATACATCGGGTAAAAGTGAAAAGAAAATTAGTTATTTAATCTTTCCAGCTAATGATCCGGCACAGGTTTGTTGATGGATCGCCAACTTGAAGAGGGAGGATTTGCCTTTGAACTTCTGGCCAGAGAAAAATAAACCCTTACTATCTGTTTCACATAGTGGACTGGTCATCACCATCATGGATAATAGCGCGTTGTGACAAACACCAGATACAGCACTGGGACTTGATCAACAGCCGATACCGCACCGTGACGTCACAAACCAGTAGGTGGCAGTAGTGTTCTTTGACAAACATGGATGCCTCTAGTAAAGCACATTCACATGAAAATTACTCTGAATTAAAAACACTGATCATTTATTGAACAGTATGTCAATCATTTCAGATTTAAAGTACTTTCAGAAGTTTGAATTCTGAATGTGGCCAGACTTTTCCTTCAATATTCCTCACATATATTAAATAACATTTATAAGTTTACTTATTGCCTTCAGTATTTGCAAAGAATCTGTATTATGAGGCGAGCTAGTTAAACAACACTTTAATTTCCTAATTAAAAACATCCTTGAGAATTAACATTATCCAACAGTTTGGCGAATGTTAGCAATGCTACCCCATTGAAGTTAAGCTAACATTAATGCCTCCCCATCCCGTCAGACCAGATGCCGTTAGTCAAAAGAAAGGTGCCTCTTCCACCTTTAAAGTTGTTGGTAGAACTTTGGATGAAAACATCAACTATGCTTGGTGGATTTGGGCCATTTCTATTGTTGGAACTCGTAAATTATGTTAATAACATGTCAGAGCTCGACTTTTTAAATCACTTTATGTTATGTAAATGCATTTTTATGCTAAAATTTGTTATGTTGCATATTGTTTTATTGAATAATTTGAATGATGAATTCCAATCATCATATGCTAAATGTATCTATCAGTACATATCTATCTTACACTAAAACAGTTTTTATTTCAATTTATCAACTTTCCAGTTTATCTTCTGATAGATTTTGATGTATTGCTGACATTGAAGGTGATAGCTTAAGAGCAGCTTTAAATGCTATCTTAGGGGCATTTAACTTTGTTCAAAATGTAAACAGTCCCACACATTCTCATCTCTATACCTTTTGCTGACATATGGCATTGGATGTGAAGAAATAATCATATTTCCTCACAACACTGTCCTCTCTGACTACTGTTTGGTAACTTTCAAGATTACATTTTACAGAATTCTACAAAAAAGTTTTCACTTGAGTAGATCATTATCAGATAGTAGTTATGAATTTTAAAGAATCTGTACCACATTTTATCTCATTTTTATCACTAAACAATACTGTAGGAGGCAACATTTTAATTTATTCCCCTTCACAAATTGATCATTTTGTTGATGGGGTTGCTAGTTTTGTTTACTGAATTAAGCAATGAAAAATAAAAAAAGAAACCTGGCTCCTTGGTAAAATGCAGAGCTGTGCATTTTGAAGCAAAATGCTTTGAAACTGGAGAGAAAATTATGCTCTACATGTCAACTAGAATCCTACCTAGTCTGGAGAAATAGTTTACTGCTGTATAAGAGGACCTTTCATAAAGCAAGAGCAGCATATTTCTCTTCATTAATAGAGAAGAATAAGAATAATCCCAGATTTCTTTTTAATTCAGTTGCAAAAATCACCCAGAGCCATAGCTCTGTTGAACCGTCCATTCCACCTGCTCTTAGCAGGAATGATTTTATCAAATTCTTTGTAAATAAAATTGATTCTGTTAAAAATAAAAACATTGGAAAAATTATCAACACTAGTAACGTCATCTAAGCCTTCAACTTGGATGTTAGATCCAGTTCCAACCAGGTTATTTAAGGAGGTATTCCCTTTGATCTCCTCCTCCATTTTAGATGTGATTAATCTATCTCTGTTACAGGGATATGTACCAAAGGCTTTTAAGGTTGCTGTAATTAAACCTCTGCTTAAGAAACCGTCTCTTGACCCAGATGACTTGGTCAATTATAGACCTATATCCAATTTTCCTTTCTGATCTAAAATTCTTGAGAATGTAGCTGCCAAACAAGTGTGTGACCAATTTTTTTGAAGAGTTTCAGTCTGGCTTTAGAGCTCATCATAGCACTGAAACAGCTCTGGTATAAGTCACTAATGATATTCTCATGGCCTCAGATAATGGACTTGTATCTGTGCTCGTCCTGTTGGATCTCAGTGCTGCATTTGATCCAGTTGATCATAATATTCTTTTAGAAAGACTTGAATATTTTGTAGGAATTAAAGGAACAGCTCTAGACTGGTTTAAATCTTATCTGATCGATGTTAGTTTGTTCACATTAAAATTAAATCTTCCTCATGCTCAAAGGTTACCTGTGGAGTACCAAAGGGATCAGTGCTAGGACCAATTGTCTTTACTATATATATGCTCCCAATTGGTAGAATTATTAGACAGCATGGGATTAATTTCAAGTATCTGTTCCTGTTTGGCTGTGACTCAATCCTGGAGAGAAATATCAGGTATAAAGCTTCTAGTTAGAGTGGCTCAGGTTATCCTGAGCTATTTCTATAGTTCTGCTGCTATAGGCTTAGACTGCTGGAGGACATAGGGACCCCTTTTTCATCATTCTATCTCTATTCTCCCACTCTGCAGAATCTGTTAGTTTAATCTCTAACGTTCTGCTCTCTCTGCTTTTTCTCATAGTAGCTTCATCTGGTCTGTTCCTGTTTGGCTGTGACTCCATCCTGGAGAGAAATATCAGGTATAAAGCTTCTAGTTAGAGTGGCTCAGGTTATCCTGAGCTATTTCTATAGTTCTGCTGCTATAGGCTTAGACTGCTGGAGGACATAGGGACCCCTTTTTCATCATTCTGCTTCATTCTATCTCTATTCTCCCACTCTGCAGAATCTGTTAGTTCAATCCTTGAACCCCAGTGGGCCTCAGCAGATGGCCGCTCACACTGAGCTTGGTTCTGCTGGAGGTTTCCCCCTGTTAAAAGGGAGTTTTTCCTCTCCACTGTCGCTACAAGCATGCTTAGTGTGAGAGATTGCATTTGAGTCAATGCAATCGACTGGTTTTCCGTAGATAGACAACTTTGAATCAATTTGACTGTATGATCTGGTTGAACTGCAAAGTGCCTTGAGATAACTTGTGTTGTGAACTGAATTGAATTGCACCTTTTGTTATAATGCAGATGCTTTATTGTTCTGTTGAGGTGAAGAGAGATTTGAGTGTAAAGGCAAAGTTCTTGATTAACCAGTTGGTGTATGTTCAGACCCTCACCTATGGTCATTAAACCTGAATCATGACTGAAAGTATGAGATCCCAGATACAAGCCAACGAAATTAGCTTTCTCCACAGGGATGCTGGGCTCTAACTTAGAGAGAGGGTAAGGAACTGGTCCATTCATGAGAGAGGCTCGGAGGACTCCTTGACATCACCTCGAAACATGTTTCAGGTCCCACTGGTAAGAGGACCAGGGGATGGACAGGACATGCTTCTGGGACTATGTCTCTTGGCTGGCCTGGAAACGTCTCAGGCTTCCCCCAGAATAGCTGGAGAGATGTCTGTGGAAAGGGAAGTCTGGGTGCCTCTGCTGAGACTGCTGTCCCCATGACCAGGACCCAGATAATGATGAACTACAAGTAGCTTATCAAGATATACTCTATTGGTATTCTTTTTAATTTATTTGATTTTGGTCATGGGCATTCAATAAGATTCCTTCAACAACCACCTCCAGAATACCTTCTTGAACATCTTCCCGTTGCTCTGTCGCTCATCTTCCTCTGTGACTACTTCCCTTGTTCCAAGACAGTCTCTGTGAGGGAACCTCATGGCTGCATACTCAAACATCTTATCTAGCGTATCCACTCCAGGGTGAAGCGATGACAGGAGTGTTTTGACGGTGCTGACTGCTCTGTAGGGTCCCTCTGGGTGTCCTAGAACCGAAGAAGCCTTAGGTCTCTGGGCTCGTTCCTCCTCTGATCCATAAAAATCCTCGCTGCCTCTTGAAACCCAGCTGAGGAGGTAGGAAGGCAGGAACGTGACTGTGCTGTAGACCCACACTATGAGGTGGAAGAGGAACAGCAACACTGGGTTCAGGTCTTCTTTTAGCCTCATTTTGAAGGATATGAGCGATGAAGAAGTGAGGAAGAAGAATAATCCTGCTCCTAAGGTGCTCAGACTTAATTCTCTTGGATTCCTGTTGTCTTCTAGAGTCACAGATTGCTTTACTAAAAGATCATGTCCACTCATCCTGTGAAAAGTAAAAATATTGAGAGGCGATATCAATACACATCTCTAGTTTAAAAATACCTATTTAGAAATAAGACAATCTGTCGTGCATTATGTGCACAGTTTCTAGGTAAGCTGTGCTTTTAAGAATTCCTTTGAGAGTTAATGATATAAAACAATAATAGTGCAGAAATTAAACAAAACTGAAACATTTAACTTTGTAAGTTGAATGTATTTTTTTAGCTAAATTTAAAATGTTTCTCTTTGTAAAGAGAAATGAGCAATTTCAAGATTCACACTCTTCAACCCCTTTCTTCATCATAAATACGTCACAATCCTTGATGCATTGACAATCACTGTGCTCTTGACCAGGAAAGGATTTACCACTGATTCAATGGCGGATGAGGAAGATGGCAACATCAACATTGCCTTCAGTTGGATAACTGGATCAATAAAGTCAATCAATCAATTACGAAGAGGCCAGAAGCTCAGTAATCTTTGTAATAATTTGAAGAAGAAAATGAGGAGCAGCTGTGGTTTTCAATCTTGGTCCTAAAGTACCACTGCTCTTCATGTTTTAGATTTATTCTCACTACCACGCATCTGACTTATATAAATCAATGATTAACAGACTTCTACAGCACTTGAAAGCTGCTAAGGGGGTCATGTGATTATTTGAATCGTGTGTAGCAACAGACAGACATCTAACGCATGCAAGGTAGAAGTTATTGAGGTTAGGCTTGGGACTACTGACTTAAGGCACCAAAGGCATCTGCACATCTAGGAACTTCCAGAAGTACACCTTCATATGGTCCAGCAGAAACACATTTTTAACTCTAAGACAAATATATCAGGTGAAGACTCTCAGTCATCCAAGTGATAGTCATTCCAAAAAAGTTAAAAAAACAATGCACTGGACTTGGTTTTCAAGTTTGAAAACATTTCTCTTCCCATCCAGGAAGCTTTTTCAATTCAAAATGAAAGAATTGAGTGAAAGGCTTTATACAGTGGACCAAAAGCAAAGCTATGTTTGGGGCTTTGTTCTGTTGTTCCAAAGAAGGACATTCTTTTAAGGACCGGAATGTTCAGATCTGGTAAAAGAAGAGGGGGCATAAAGGAAGCCATCTATTTTAACAAAAAAAAAAACAACCTTAAACAGAGGGGGTGGACTCAGGTTCCAGCTTTTAAAAAACCTACAATGCAGCAATAGAGTTGATTCCTTCCCACTGTCATCGCAACCCCCGTCCCCATAAAGGGGGCCAGAATATCTCGCTTGTTCAGCCAGGCCATGAGTTCCCCCTAACGGCCCCCCTTTCAGAGAAATAAACCAGCGTTGGGTAATGCAAGCTAACCAAGAATCCAAAGAAATGACCACTCTTAAGGGGAGGACATGTTCAACCGGTTCAATCTGCATGTTTTCTAAGCCAAAGCCAGGCTTTGTTTTTGGTCCAATCTACAAAGCCTTGAACTCAACGCTATTTCTGTCATTTTGAATTGAAAAAGCTCCCTGGATGGGAAGAGAAACGTCTTCAAACTGGGAAAGAAAGTTCAGTAGATTTTTTTTTACTTTTTTTAAATGTATCTATATGAGAGACTCAAGTATGTGTCTCAGAATGTGTTCTTTCTAAATGATTGACCAGTATTTAGACGAGACCTGTGGATTGATAACTAGGTTTTATATATATATATATATATATATATATATATATATATATATATATATATATAAAACAGCACGGAACAATCTGTCACAAGGTATCAGAGAGGCCAAGACGCAGTATTCCAGGTAGACAGCCCACCATCTCAATGACAGAAGAGACCTATGCAGCCTTTGGAAAGGGTTATAGTCAATCATGGACTACAAGACCCCACCGCAGACTGGAACAAATCCATCTCCTTGTGAATGAGCTGAACAGCTTCTCACCCACTTTTAGGCAGTAAACAGTGCACAAACAGTGAAATCACCACCTCACACAGAGGAGCAAGTGAATAAACTGTCCAAGGACAGTGTGAGAAGAGCAATCTGTAGGATCAACACCTGAAAACCCTCTGGTCCTGAAAACATTTCTGGGCGTGTATTAAGGGACTGCACAAAGGAACAAGATGGCAGCCAAGCCACACGTGTTTGGATCCCAGTGCTTGAGATCTGAATTTTAGGACTTTGTGTGATATTTTAAAAGCTCATGTGAGTAATAATTCTCAAGAACAAGTCATTACCTCCACATTGGGATTATTTTAGTAGATGATAAGGTCAAATATGAACTCTGAATCTGGACTACTGGCCTAACTGGAAACCAACTGCTGGAGCATGGCCAACAAAGGGACAAACTAATCTGTGCTTTATTTCACCATACCAACTGGACACCTGTTGTTTAACATTGTTGAGCAACGGATGAACAAGCCACCATCTGGATGAACTGCTACCAGCCCACCTTGCTAGCCATCTATCGGATGGGATGCCTTGCTTGCTAGCCCTGCTGCTGGTAGCCCTGCTTGCTAGCCTCTACCCAGATCTTGGTCTACCAACCTGCTGCTAATAGCCCTCCCTGCTAGCCATCACTGGGAAGCCTGCTAATCACTGCCTGCCTACTAGCATGCTGCTAGTGGTCCTAATCTGGTAGCCATCAGTTGCATTTCTGATCTGCTAGCCTGCTGTTGGTAGATTTGCTTGCAAGCTACCGCCTGTACCTCCCTGCTAACCTGCTGCCAATAGCACTGAATGCTAGCCACCACCTGGATACTGGTCTGCTAGCATACTGCTTAGTAGCCTTGCCTGCTTGCCACCATTGAGAAGCCCACTAATTACCACCTGCTTTCTAGCCTGCTGCTAGTGGCCCTGACTGGTAGCCATTGGTCATTTTTCTGATCTGCTAGCTTACTGCTGGTAGACTTGCTTGCTAGCTATCACCTGGAAGCCTCCTTGTTAGCCTGCTGCTAGTAGTCCGGACTACTTGCCACCACACGGATTCCAGTCTGCTAGCCTACTGTTTGGTAGCATTGCCTGTTGGCTACCTCCTGGAAGTTTCTCTGCAAGCCTGCTGCTTGTTGCCTTTATTGCAAGCCACTACCTCGCTGTCCTGTTTGCTAGTCTGCTCTTGCTAGCCCTGCCTGCCATCTGGAAACCTCTGTCCTAGCTTAGTGCTAGTAGCCCTGCCTGCTCATCTTCTCCGTGGTAACTTGCTATCATGCTATTTTTTTATCATCTTCATACTTGTACAGGCCAGCCCTATTTTAGACAAACTTAAAAGCCCCAAAATGAGCAACAATGACTGTGCATTTGAACTATAGTCATTTTTTAATTTCACCCACAAGTGTCTGCGAGTTTTATCACCAACCAATCAGCTTTTGTCATCCATACAATGCTTACTGTTTACAAGTGAAAGTTAATAAGATCTTATATCTTCAGAACCTATTGGTGCTAAATTACTATTTTGTTGTCTCTGGTTATCCATGTTAACAGTTCATAGAGGACAGAAATAATGATAAATATTATGCATCCAAACAAACACTTCACTGAATGATTAAGCTCTTATTGATGTTGTCTGGTAATATTCAGCCTAATCCTGGTCCTGCTAACACTTTGCAATCCTTATCCACTCCTTCAGATTTCAAAAACAGACATGGCCTTGGTTTTATACATCTAAATGTCAGAAGCCTTGTCCCTAAAATGGATATGATTAAGATCTGGGCAAATACAACACAAACTGATATTATTATTGTTTGTGAAACCTGGCTCAAAAAATCTGTACCGGATAAATTAATCTTAATTGAAGGATATAAAGTTTATAGATCGGATCGGATCGGTAAAGGAGGTGGGGTTGCAATATATATAAAATCTAAGTTTACAAGCTCTGTAACCCTGTCAGTTACTAAAGCGAAACAGTTTGAAATCCTGGCAATCAAAGTTACGATCTCAAAGGGCTCTGATATTACTGTAGTTGGTTGTTAAAGGCCTCCATCTGCTTCAAAAGATTCTTTCAAATCTACATCTGCTATATTACATCAAATAAACGATTCTGAATTTATTCTCATGGGTGATTTGCATTGGGACTGGCTTTCAGAAAAATCTGACTGTTTTAAAGAATTGTGTAATGACCTAAATTCAGTGCAACTAATTAATGAACCAACTAGAATAAATCCCAAAGCACAAATTAAATCAACCCTACTTGATCTCATCATAACAAATACAGTTCACAAATACACCTCAACAGCCGTCTTTTGTAATGACGTCAGTGACCACTGTGTAGTTGCTTAATAATAATAATAATACATTTTATTTGAAAGCGCCTTATCACAACACCCAAGGACACTGTACAGGCAGATAAAAACATTAAAAACAGGGAGCTAAAAAGTACAAGCATAAGATGCCACAGAAAACAAAACAGCAGGAAGTAAAATAAAACCAAAGGAAGAAAAGGAAGA